AAAAAAAAAAAAAAAAAAAAAAAAAAAAAAAGAATTATTTTTTTTGGGTCATCTCAATACGTCCTTCCAACAACAACAAAAAAAAATTATTATTCACTAAAACAAGCATAAACACTGTAATAAAAATTCTTGACTGTATTAAAACTAGACAATAAGAAAAAAGAAAATTGTTGTTCATGTCATGAGACAACAATGTTGCCTACCGTTAAATATTAAAGAAACTTATGCAAGTCTCATACAAATTTGAATCATAAAACAGTTTCCACTGCGGCATTCGCGCTGGTGCTATACATTCGTAATTCCCTCTTACTTACCATGCATTTCTTTAATAACCTTCAATCACCTTATATAATTTTAAATAAGCGTCATTTTCGGCACCAAAGATTTCATTCATTGCTACATTGAAAAGGTGAGAAGACAAGATTTACTACAATTCTAAATCTGACAACTTATTCAAAATTCTATGGAACAGAAAGGATGAAAGAGCGATAAGCAGACTCGTGTTGTCCTACTGGACTGCAGAACCCTCTTCCGTATCTCAGTAGTCGGCTTATTGACACTGATAATAAAAGGTGCACAAATTTGGAGAAATAATCAGCACAAGTGTATGTATTAATGTTATGATACTTACTAAAACATTATTTTTTTTTTATTTTATCGTTTGGTCAACTACAAGTTTTCTCTAAAATATGAGTGCTAAGAATTTATGCAGCTCATATATTTAAGATTTAGCTAAGTACTGCAAAAATGACAATCTTTATAAATAATGTCATAGGTTGATGAAACTGTTTATCTACATATTACCTCAACTTCTTTAAAAATTCTCCGAGACTTCAAAGACTACGGTAAAAATGAAAAAATTCTGCGGTTTATCGGTGAATACGCAGAAAGAAATCGATTTATAGTTAAGTTACTCTTTTTAATTTGTGTAAATCTTGTTAAAGTTATAACTGCTGTACATTTTAAAATCCTTCAAGTTTTGAAAGGCAATGAAGATTTAGCTGGGAAACGACAAACACGTCGCTGCTTCGTCCATGCAAAAAAGGAGAATTTTTCTTCGACCAGAATAAAATAATACAAAGAAAGTAACTTTTTTGCCTAAAACTGCAATGACCCAAATTAATGTTCAATTGACAATCTAAACGGCTCCATTAGCGACGCAGTAATGAGGTAAAATTTTCCCACTTTAAAACGCCACAACTACCTTTGGCTACAACTAAAAATACCATCCAGAGACGAGAAAATAACAAAATCAAGAATTGTTTTGTAAAAACTAAAAATATCTGATAGTCATCTGCTTCCAAACTGCTCTTGAGCATAACAAATGCACAAACTTTTTTCAAGGTAGACTTTGCATGGGTAATTTCACAGTTTAACTGCATTATAGAGCAAAAAAATTTATGACCGATATGACATTTCTTGACGCCGTTCTTGTTTTTATTTCACTCGGTTCTCTAATGTACACCATACACCCAATGTTTTTGAATCATTACTAAGTGACAAGCAGTTTCTTTGATATTTAAGGCTCTAGGTAGGTAGGCTCATGAACAACTAGTCACACTTTAATTTCGTAACCCAAAAACTTAAAACATTCTCATGTATAGATGCAGTTATAAAAACAGTGCATTAAAACTCCTCTCTCAAAATTTTACAAATTCGCTAACGCCGAAAGAATAACCAACTACCAATTGAAGTCAACTTCATATTTGAGGAACCTGAACCGTTAATTCATTAATATCTTGAATATGCCAAAAAGCAAGACTCCGGTCCTGCAAACTGAGCTTGGTTTTCCTAATTATTGTAATGGCTGATGTTGTGACCTAATAACTATCAAGAGCGTACGAAGTGGTGCACAATAGTCTACTTCTCGCCTGCACCTCTTGCCACTCAAACCAACTGACTTGCTGTTCAGTTGGTCTAGTTCCAGTCTCTTACTTTCAACGACCAATATATAAAATGAACATACATTTGGCAGCATTTGTCAAAAAACAAAAACACCCAAAACGTAAGCGCACTATAATGCCCTCCAAAAAATCTGTTAAACCCACGTTTCGTTGCAGTCCCTTTCCAACGATTTACTAGAAATCACAGTTAAGTTAAATTTTTACAAACATACAGATTTACTCAAGAATACAACTCATCAATAAAAAGCAAACTGTGTAACAAAAAACAACAGTATTTCAACAGAAGAAACCAAATACATCATTTATGTCTTCTGCTAACTACATTAGATCCTTTGTAATGACTTAGAAAAATGGCCGAAACCGATGAGCATATTCGCAACCGTAATTGGTAAAGGTCAAGCTTCACTTCCTCCTCTTTCTAGCTTTGCCCTATTGAACAATGTTCGGTAAATTCTTTTATCAAGAACTTTCTAACATATCTTAAGAGACAAAAAAGAGTAGCAGTTTCCAAAAAGGTGGAAAAAAACTACTGTTACTAAAACTACTTACCTTACGAACTTTCCCCCCCTGCGATTTCAAACCTCGCTCTTTTCTACTGCCCTTACGACTTCTAAATAATTTCTTGCGAGATAATTCTTCGTCCTCTTTGTCCATTGCCATGTAATCACCAAATTGCAACAACTCTTCAATTATATTTTGACGACTTTTTAACTTCCTCTTGTGGCGCTCTCTTTTGTTGACCTGCAGGCGTATAAAATAGTCTTCCTCATGCCTAAAACGGTATTCATTTATTTCATAGATAAACACGACAATTAATAAAAGTCTACAGTATTTGAAAAAACATTTTTATATAATTAGTAGTCGGTAAATGACTAATGAAAAAAGTATTTAGTCTCGAAATTAAAAAATGCACAAACTTTTGCTTTTCCTTATCTGCTTGCTGGAATCTCTTTACAGTCCTGTCGTCCTAAAAATAAAATAATTAGAAAGCTCTGCAACACTGAAATGCAATTAAAGAAAAAAATAAAAAATTTTATTTTTTAGACAATGTAAATGAATACTGTAATTTCTTCCGGCGCCTCGCTGTATTCAGCTCTTAAATCTTGTATTAAACTGCTCTGCAACGCACGCTTCCTTTTCCTTTCTAATTTTCTCTCATTTTTCGCTTCGTCATCTTCTGAAGATAAACTTTGGTGCTTTGAAGGGCAAACAACTGTTAAAAGCTCAAATGACTAATGAATATCATAAATTGAACATCTGAATACAAATTAGACTACCTATTTCTCTTAGAATACTAAAACAGAATGCATTTCGAAAAATAAACTGGCATTCCTGAATCAAAGACAATAACTGAAAAAGACTGTTAGTTTTTTAAAGAATATAAATATTAATATTTCTCAACACAAATAAAACATCTGTTCAAAAATGATGCCCGTGAAACAATTTAACATAGTGAGATGGCATATAAGCTATCCTAGCTCTGAAAAACAGAATAACTACATGACAGTTGAACAACAATAATAATTCTGAAAAACAAAAAAAAGAATATTTTGAAAAAATAAAGAATAAAAAAATTCTCTAAGATAAACTCAAAAATTTTGCTGCTGCCAAATTAGTACTGAAAAAAAAATTATTTCTGAAAACCTAACACTATGCTTTTCCTCTAAAAAAAGCAAAAAAAAAAAAAGATAAGTGATGAAAAATATTATACTTGTACCATTATAATGTACAGCGACCAGTTTCGGTGGTACATATTTTTTATTAGCTTGTTCTTGTGGACCATCAACATCCCTATTTTCTCCTAAATCTTCACTCTTCTCTTGTTCAAAATTCATCATTTCCGGATGGGGTTGCAACTCCTAAAATGAGCGTTTAATTGAGCCCTGCGCTGAAAACCAAGGTATCAACTCTGAGCAGTATTACATATCAATTTATACTAGCTGAATATCGAACTAGTTCCTCTATATTTGAAGATTCTGACTAGACTTTAATACAGAAAAATTTATTGTAAGGGTTTGAAAATTTTTGTCTGGAAAATAGAATAAATACACAAATTAACACAATAAAAATCTTTTTGAATATGCAAATCCAATCAAAATTACCCAGAATTTTTAACAGCATTTAATTATGAAAAAAGGAGCGAAATGGCGTAAAAAATCTAAAAATTCAAAATTATTGGAACTAGCAATCCTGAGATAATTAAGAGTTACCACCCTTTTAACTCTCACCTCATTTGTATTTGTAAAAAATCGTACACGTTCCGGATAAAAGTTACTGGAAATAACATTTAATACTTGATTTTGCTAACAGCCCAAAAAACACACCTGTATATTTTGTTTTTTTGAGGAGTAAGCAGCATGTACTAATTTCTCTACCTGTGTCTTCATTTTCTGTCCAATCGGACGAATCCTTTCCAGCACCTTAAAAAGGCATTATGGTGCCAACAATCAACATCAAGACCTCGAAAAAACTGGAAAACAGTGTACCGTTCTTAAATAAACTGATCTTTCTATTGCAGGACTGCCTTGAATGCTTTCCCCAGAACTCATTTGTGACATCAGAAAAGCCAGTTCCCTTGTGTAAGCGAGAAGATCTCTGTTTTTGATCTCAAGTAGCGAGATCCCCTAAGACTAACAAAGATGACTATTAATTAACACTCATTGAATTAATGAAGTACAAAAACCTGCACAGCTATTAGGTGTCCTAAAAACAAAATATTGCACCATACATTCCGATCCTTCTCAACGGCTAGTTCAGCAAGGAGTTGTTTTCCAGCAAGATTAACTTCCGTCGCTACTTTGTAGCACTTTTCCACTAGCGAAGAGAGTTGCTGCTGCAAATCGGCCAAACTATTCTCTTGAGACGCATCAAGCATCTCTAAGCCAAATGTATCTGAAATGTCTCTCTTTAAATACCTTCTACAAAAGCATCAGGAGAGACATATCCAGAACTGCATCACAATGACATACCTACCCGAATGTGCAGAAAGTAACGTCTATAGAAGAACAAGATGTGAAAGTACCAGGTAACCTGTTCCACCCAACATCATTTAAAACGCAGTAAAAGCGCAACAGAGAAGATTTTTCAACCGTTTAATTGTCCTTGCAATATACAGATAAGCAGTTGTCAGTTACATCCCTCAGGAAAAGTAAACCTCTTCCTTCAACTGACAATTTAGTTATCAAGTTAACATCTGCAATGTACATATGACATGCTCCGATTTGTGAACGAAAACATTTCAAAGTGATTAATATATACAGAAGTTATGTCACATAAAAAAATAGAATCTCCGTTATATCCTCTTAATATCTCCAAATCGAAAAACTAACAGAACAACTCTAAACAATTTTAAGAACTGAACATCCTGAAAACCTAAACAATATAACTACCCAACTTCCACAAAACTGTGCGTTACGTTTAAGACCTGCTTAACTTTAAATCGTGCCCTACAGGAAACGCTCCACTCTCCAAAAAAACATCTACAACTTACTTAAATTTCTCCAAAAAAAAAGAGAAATAAAAGGTGTTTAAGAAACATCTCAAGCAAAAAGTATACACAATTCGAACAGTGAGGAAAAAACTGAATGACAGTCCTATAACAAATGTGAGGAACAATTATTCAAATCAACAATGAAAAACCATCAAATATTATTGGAATTCGGATCAGAAACTAAGTAAGAGCTTAATTATCATTAAGATTATGTCACCTACAGAACACTTAACAGTCGGGCTTTTTCTTTAAGTTATCTGTCAACAGCATCAACACCTTAAGCTCCATAAAAACGAGATCAAAGAAACGGCAAACATTTTTGATGGAACCGAATCAATACTCTAACACCACAAAACAGAGAATGCCTAAGCAACAGAAAGTAGGCAGAACTCTGACATTTCTAAATGAAAGCTCATAAGCTACACATCGTCGCCTTCCAGCTTTAAAATACCTAGAATTTAAAAAGCCAGCCGGCAATAACCAACGCAATCCTTCATCCCATTTGTATTACAGATTGTTAGCTCTTTATTTCTCAGATTAGGCTGATCAGTTCAAACTGAAGAAGAAGCGCCATCTGTCGAACTCGAATCATGCTCACCTTTCTTCTTGCTATTCGCGGCATACGCTACAAACATTTCCTTCAAAACAGCTAATTCTTTTTGTAACCCTTCTACCTGAAAATTTTAGCCCAGAAAAACATTTTGTCAAGACTCATAATATGACTGGTATTCGGTGAAGCATAAGAACTTTTAGAAAACCTTTCGTTCCAACTGTTCATTTTCCTTTCTTAATTCTTCAACACGTTTGGAAGTATCACTTTCTTCTTGGCGTTTTTTCTGTCTAGTCCTAAATTTTAAACAATGAATAAAAAACAGGCATCATTTAGCGTGATACTTATCACACAGATTATATATATATAGACCATTCCATGCCAAATCGCACAAGTTTGCATCTCGACATCTCAGATCTCCTTTATTTTTTACTCAATTATAGCACTTGATACCAGACTTTGAAATCGAAAGAAAAGTGCGCTAGCGGCAAAGTTAGACCGTTCTAAATTGCGAAAAAAAAGTGCAATTCACTCTCGACATAATCACCTTCAACAACTTATATTTTTCTCAGTTCCTAATAGATTTTCCTCTGGTTTATTCGAAAGCTTGTCTCCCGCAGATTTAAAAGAATAGCGACACGCTTAAATTAGCAAATTTTATTTCAAATTAAAATTTTAAAACAAGAATTCAGAACGCTTTTTCTCGAAACGCAATATTTTAAATCTTTAAAAAAAAACATGTTTTGAAGAAATAATTTTTACACAAAATATAAAAGTTACAGGATGGTATCTTTCTGGTATCAAGAGTTACGATGCGATTAGTGATAGCAGACTGGAAAATCCTTAATTAAGGCAGCATTTTGGCGCTTTCGTAAGTCTCAGACCCACTGTTCCCATTAAAATTTTATTTTTTTTATAGTATATATAATTCTTGTACAACTTTTCAACACTCCTACTCAAGTAACGAACAATTAAAATTTATTTACTTTTGGAAAATTTCCAGAATTTTTTTTAAAATAATTACTTTATGACTACTTTTTCGGTTTTTATCGTTCTGCTTGCTTATCGAACCCTTCTGACCCTAATATATCACACTTATTACTGTTTTTTAACTGCGAGTATTGTTTCGCTATTTTTGATCAGCGATTTGTAGTATAACGTAATGAAATTTTTCATGCATTTCACTAGTAATGCACTCGAAAACGCGATGCTGGAAACGACCATTGCCTTTCATATTCTTGTGAAAGTAATGTAATCACTAGCATTTCTTATCACTTGTTCGGAGATTATTTGTTAAAGTAATTGTGAGTTAGGATTTAGACTGAAAGTTTCTGCTTCATGCCGACCATCGTTGCTGGTCTTCTCAATATCATTCAAACATATAAAAATTTCCACTGCATTATACTAAAGCGTTGAGAGAAAAAATAGCAAAACAATACCCGCAGTCAAAAAAACAGTATTAAATGTGATATATTTGGGTTAGACAGGTTCAAAAAGCAAGCAAAGCCGTACAAACCAAAAAAGTAATTGTAAAAGCAATTTATTCTTGAAAAAAATTTGATAAAATCGTCTAGAAATAGATTTTGACTAATTGTCTGCCATTGAAGTGGGTGACTTGAAAAGTTTTACTAGAATTACATATATTATTGCAATTAATGAAATTTTGGTGAAAACAGCGGCTCTGCCACTTGCGAAAGCTCCAAAGTACTGCGTCAATTAAGGGTTTGTTCCAAACTACTATCACTGGTCGCATCGTAAGTCTTGACGCCAAAAAGATATCACCTTATAATTTTTATATTTTGTTTAAAAATTGTTCCTTTGAAACATTTTCTTTTTTTTAAAGATTTTAAAATGTCGCGTTTTGAATTCTTGTTTTGAAATTTCAATGTAAAATCACCATGTACAAAAATCTGCAGAAGACACGCTTTCAAATGAAGTAAAAATGAGAAAAATCCGTTGCTAACTGAGAAAAATATAAGTTATAAAGGTAACCATGTCAAGAGTAAACTGCACTTTTTTTCGCACTTCAGAACGGTCTAACTTTGCCGCCAGTTCACTTTTTGAGGTAAACTCTTTTAATTTCAAAATCCGATATCACGTGCTAAAATTGGGCAAAAAATGAAGAAAATCTGGAAGGTCGAGATGCAAACTCATGTGATTTGGCATGGAACGGCCCTTACATATATGTGGGATACATATATATGGGCCATTCCGTGCCAAATCGCACACTTTTTCCCCTTCATACCTCAGATTTTTTTAAAATTTTACTTGTTAGTAGAGTCTAGGCCAGTAAAGAAGTCAAAAAAAAAATCTGGAATGAATTCCCTGCCAAGCCACGCCCCCTAAAAGTTGCAAAACTTGTCGGGTCCCCACTTGATACATCGACTTTTTCAGACTTGTAATTTAGCTTGTTCTTAATGAAATTTGACAATTTTTTGTTCTTCAGTTTTGACATGTCCCAAACTTTAACGCCCACTTACTGTTCTAATTCTTAAAAAATCACATAGATACAATAAAAATAAAATATTAGATAAAAGTCAAAAAAAGAAATGAAGTTTTAAATTTTTCAAGAAAGACATACTTTGTGCAGAATTTTTTGCTCTACAACATATCAAGATCAGGGAATAGCGATTTTTCGGTATCAAGAAGTACGAGCCGGAATGGAATGTAAAGCTGAAAAAAACCCACTATTTTCACAGTTATCCCATATATTTTACAGCGGCGAAACCATCCGAAGCCGCTTCTGAGAGCCGCACCATGCAGCTATAAATAACCGGTACCCTTTGAACGTTCAAAATTTGTTCCCAGAGTTGTATTTTACTTTCATGATATTAACTTTTTATTATTCAACAGAGGTGTAAGATGAAGCCTTCACTCCAGCGTTTTTTACTTCTTGAATTTAGAACTGTCTCCATCTTGTACTTGTTAAAGTTTTGGTTGCATAAGCGAACAGAAGCTCGATTCGTTGTTCTTCTTTGAATTGACCTGCTGTGGTTCTCTAGAAACACAGAAATTTTTAAGGAAAATCTCAATTCAATGGATACTAAGGAAAAGCAGTGAGTTCTTAGTCTTCTTTACGACCTCAAAATGTATACTGGCTATATAGTTTTGGCAGAATAAAACGCGAGAAGTAAAAAACGCTGGAGTGGAGGCTACCTCTTACAACTTTGTGGAATAATAATTCGTTAATATTATCAAATTACAACTTTGGTAAAAAATTTTCAACTTTTAAAGCATACCGGATACTTGTAGCTGCCCGCTGCGGCCTTCAGAAGCGGCTTCGGATGATTTCACCACTGTAAAATATATGGAATTACAGTAAAAATAGTGGGTTTTCTTCAGTTTTACATTCCACTCTGGCTCGTAGCTCTTGATATCGAAAAATGGCCAGCTCCAAATTTCGATATGTTGTAGAGCAAAAAATTCTGCATAAAACGTATCTTTTTTTAAAAAATTCAAACTTCGTTTTTTTTAAATGTTCCTTTAAAATTTCATTTTTGTTGTATTTATGCAATTTTTTACCAGAATTGGAATAGTTATACGGGCGTTTAAAAGTTCAAAAATTGTCAAAACTAAAGAGCAAAAAATTGTTAAATTTTATTCAGAACAAACTACATTACAGGTTTGAAAAGGTAAATGTTTTAAGTGACAACCTGACAAATTTTGCAACTTTGAGGAGGTGTAACTTGGTGGGAAATTCACTTCTCCAGGTTTTTTCTCGACTTCTTCTTTACTGGCCTAGACTCTATTAACAAGTAAAATTTTAAAAAAATCTGAGGATGAAGGGGAAAAAGTGTGCGATTTGGCACGGAATGGCCCATATGTATGTAACCAACAACAAAGAAAAATTAGAATAATTATAAAATCCCTGCAAAAACAACCAGTAGAGAAAAGAGCCACAAAAAAATAAAGATAAAAAACTAAAATGTTCTGCTTTTAAGTCTTCACGAGTACATTTAATGAAGGTCTGCATACAACCCTACTTTTTTTTATTTGCTGCTCCAGATGTCAGCAGCTTAAAAACCATAAAATCAAAAAACGCTGCTCACTTTTCCCTTTCTCAAAGATCTAAATGCAGTTTTTTGCTTATCTATATCTGGTTACTGTCACTTTTGCAGGAGACGCAGTACGATATGAACACGGTCATTTGCAGCTTCAGATTTTCATTCCAATATCTAGCTTCTTTAACCCTATCACTCTAATTTTCGTTTTATCTTAACCGCCCGCAAAATAACGAAATTAAAATCTTTATCTTAAAAGTAGTGCAAAATCCTTTGTCACTCATCTTTGACTAAAGAAGTGACAAAAAAAGATTCCAAAAAACATCGAAATATCCGTTAACAAAGTGCCCTGCGTAAATAAAAGATGTTTGTTGATTAAGACCCACATAAAGCTTTTCAATGCTTAAATATTTCAGTAGCAGTAAAAATCAGACTACCGCTGACCTGAATTTAGAGCAAGACATGACTTTTAGTTAACGAGTAATGTTACACTACGATTATTTCTCCAAATGGTGTAAAGATGCTGACGACTCCCTATAAAACTGTTAACGTTGTAAAAAGAAAGTTCCTTGTACTTTTAACAATGTCGAAGCAAAATCCATCCCCTCGAAAACTACCTCGAAATATCTTTGGGAACGAAACTGCCAAGAAAAAACTACACTGGACCACTGGTGACAAATGAAGGACCAGCATAAGACTAAAACTGCAACTAGCGAAGACATCTTCGGTAGTCACACATACAACTACTCTTTCTCGAAAGTCCTCTTTACTAAGCTTAAGACCGGCCTAAACAAGAGACGAATAAAACCTCTGCAAACAAAGCCAACATCAACTCTTCTGAACCGATAAATAAAGGACAAAAAACTAATTAACTTATCTGAATAAGTCTTTAAACAAAATGAGTCAAATAAGGAGGCAACTGAAGCTACAACCGCAAAAAAAAAACGGACACGCGTGTGTGTGTGTGTGTGTACCTGTGTACTATGCCTCCACTGAAGTTAACACTGTGAGGCGGTACGTATAAAAGAAACTCACAAGAAGTGTTATCAGTAGGTTAAAAACAAAGACGTTTATTGAGACTTTCTGAAATCGTCTTTTATGGATCTCAATAATCGACGACTGTATTCAACTTAAAAACACGGTAATAAGCCAACAACAAAACATTAGTTCCTTCCACCGTAAAGCAAACTAACATCTAAGTAATTATAAAAAGTGATACGACGAACCTGTTAACGGCATCGTTATTCCTCTGCCGCTTCAACAAATATTCATCATCACTGAGCTTATCAGGGTTCGCTAAACGTTTGCGAGCTCCACCCCTTCCGGCCATAAATAATTTTCTAGAACTTCACTTAAATGATAAATAAATTTAAAAAACTTCAATTTACATATCAGAACTAAGAACTTTATGCGTCCGAGGAATGGATGAATTGAACGATGTCTACGGCTTCAATCCTGTCATTGAAAAACATTAATATGAAGATACAGACTGCGTTACAGGGTAACTAGATAATTTTCCACTTCAAGCTATAAAGCACAAGAGAACAAATTCGCGAAACTAATCGCAACAGATCTAATGGGGATAAAACCAACATAATTAACGGAAGATTTCAACGTTTGTCCAGGTGAATAATGACAAAAGTTCCGTAGCAACTGCATACCTTATAAATGTCAACTCGCTTATGCAAGTTTAAAGCAATCGGTAGCGAAAAGATACGAATATGATATCGGACAAATTATGAAGAACCCAAACAAATAAAATTGGTAATTGAAAGTTGTTTAGTAAATGGCATCGGGTAAAAAGCCAACTACAGTATCTCAGTTCACGCAATACTTTCCAGTAATGCAGCTAAATATTAACCTGAATAATTTGTGGACTACAGAATAAAAGCTACAAAGTGGATTTGAATTTCAAACCTAGTTTCACGTTTTAAAAGGCTGCTTATCGAGGAGTTAAAAGTGAGTGAGATGTGATTAAATTGCTACGAAGTGCGTATTTGAAATGTATATAATATAGCGTTAAGCACCAGCACGTTCTGGACTTTAATTTTTGTGAAAAATGCGACATACAATGGAAAAGTAGCCTATTTGAAGAGCTGGCTTATACCCCAGCCCTTTTTGAACTGAGTCATTTACGGCCTTTCAATTTTTCTAATCTTAATAAGTGCTATTCTTAAGAATTGCCAACACTGCTAAGAAAATAATCTGCTGCGGAAGGCTCAGATTCACACCTAAAAATTAAATATCACTTTTTTTTTCTGCTTTTATTCCAGTAAATACAAGAATGTATGGGCCTCAAAAGTTGTTTGTTTAGCGAAGCGTATATGAGGAACCAGAAGTACTGAAAACCCCGTATCAAATTCCCGTCCAAGAAGGTCTAGCCCTTTCGGGTCCTGGATGGCCTGAAATTCCCGTCCAAGAAGGTCTAGCCCTTTTGGGTCCTGGATGGCCTGAAAAATTTTAACGGCTACATTTGCATAGTTGGAATACTGCCAATTCAATTGAGCCGACTTCACATCCTCACACAAAAATCCTCGTTTCTCCTTTTACCAAAACAAAGAATGCGGTTTTGTTTTGTTCCACCTTTTGGGGGTTTTAGCTTCAAATATAGAACATAAAGCGCAGTTTTTCTTGTTTCCGTGCCGTTCCCGGTAAATTTTAGGTGAAGTAGCTTGCTGCTGTTGCAGACAAGTATACCCGTCTGCAAACAGTGTTATTATGTATTACCTACTTTTGTTTTTTGTGTACAGAATTCCTGATTCTGGCTGATCCATAATGTAAGACGTCTTTGTGTGCTTCCCCCTAGTATTTTGATAATCTGATGCACAAGTATCATTCAGTTCTTATAGCACTTAAAACCGGTTTTTTCAGTGACACGCGGTGTAATGGATAGGAACCAAATAATGGAACGGTTATCCTAAAAATCTGAAAGGTTCAAATCCATTTATCATACAAAATGCCTAATTAAGTTTCCACGTTGCCTAACTGGACCTACTAAACATACCTTCACAGTCACGAAGTTCTAACTAATTACGTAGCGGTTGCTAAATTATAAGGTGAATAAAGAAGCTTCTTAAATGACGCGCTCATAAATCGCGTTAAAAGGGTGTTTGAAAACATTTTTGTTGCTTGTGCACTGCTTTTGTAGAGAGGTTTGCATTAAGAAAACGGTTACATTGCAGCTATTGCTCCAGTAGCAGGAATATGTGCGGAAAAGCAAGAGGTGACTCTCCAACAAAACGGAGTTCAATGCTTCACAGTTATTATTACCCATTACACTGAGTACAGTTTAAAGGGAGGCCCTGTGAACCATCATAAGAGTTGAAAGTATGATTTACCAGGAAATTGTTAGAAGGCTACGAAGAAGCATGAAAATAGTTTAAAATTATTGCAGACAAATTCAGCGGAATTGAGAAACCTAAACACAAAGAATGAAAACAGTGAAAAAAGTAGTTTACGAGTGACGGTGTGCTGTGGCTACAGTAGCTTTATTGCTGCTTCTGTTATCACGAGAATAACGCAAAAATTATAATTTCTCAATAATAAATGCTGAGAGAGTACTTATAATATAGCAACCGCGTAGCTTGAAAGAATGTAATTCAGAGTTGAAAGTCTTTTTCCTGATGATGTATAATAGGTTTGATATAATTTTTTATCATCAATTCCCAAGTGGTCAGAAAAGTTTTTCTTAGTGCGTTTTACCTCTTTCAGTCGTTATCAGAGGTTCTATCAAGGCGGTCTTAGAGCTGTGCGAAAGTGTGAAAGAAGTCGCTGGTGGGTACTTTTTTTCCATATTGTAAATGCTGTCGAAGAAAAGTAATTGGGAGAAAGTTTAGAAGAGCATTCACTTTTTTCGTCCCCTTTAGAAACCATTTAGACAAGAATAACTGCAGTTTCGTGGGAAAGGAACGCTTCACTAATTCCACCTCTTGAAGAAAGGAACGCTTCACTAATTCCACCTCCTGAAGAAAATGCTCAGTGTTACTGCAGCATCATGCAGTGGAAACATAAAGCCGAAGCTGTAAGTTCAGTGCCGTCTAAAAAAAGCAAAATTTATGATAAGAGTTTAATGTTTATTCCATCTTTTTTGCACTAAAAACTAAAACCGAAATAGAATTGGGGAGTGTAATCTGAAAATGAGCATTGCAGCAACTTTTAAGATCCCTGTTGTTGGCTTAAACTATATTCCAAAAAACTTTTTGAAGAGTCAGGGAAGTCACTTTGTCAAAAAGATAAAGCTCTCAATGTCTTTTCGGTTTCAACTATTTGACTGCAAACTGATCTAGTTCTTGAGAAAGATTTATTTATAAGAGTAAGCTGCGTTTGATACTGTTTTATTACCACGTAAGCATCCAGTTCAACAAAAAGTGGTAATCAGATGCAGTAAAGTCAGAAGAGTATGATGAGCGTTTTTGCGCATCATTATCCACACTTATTTTTCCATAGCTGTTTCTGCCATAGGACTTGTGGTATTCACTCGCAGGAACACTAATTATTTTCTGGTAATGTGGCCACTTGTTCATCGTTTGATATCCTGCTACTTCAGAGTAACATCTCAGAAACATCAGCAGGCCCGTTTTAAGATTTAAACTGGGATGAAGATTTAGTGGACACGCCGACTCATAGATAATCACGTTTATGATTATTACGGAGAAACCATAATTCGTACTCAACAGGCAATTTAAAACAGTCCCTTAAAGTTCCATTTAAGTAGATTGGCAAATGGTTTCAAACTTTCCGCTCTTTGTTCCATGGGCATTTTGTGGAGGACGTCGCCTTTGCGATATATATATATATATATATGGCCATTCCACGTCAAATCGCACACTTTTTTCCCTTCATA